AACCAGGATGTTTGGCTCATGGTGGTAGGCTTTCCAATGGAATTTTGATCCAAGACAAATATGGAAAAAGTTGTTGACTCTTTTTGGAAAAATGTTAGCCTAGGAAGATGAGTACAATCACATGGCACGTGTTCTTGTCAGAACAAGAGTGGTTAACCTCAAAGATGATCCCTGGTTTCTCGTGGTTTTAGAAGGGCTTGACTTTGAGGGTGACTCTTGGACTGTTCAATGTGAAATTTTGCAGTCTATTCTCCTTGATGCCAATCCACGCGATGAAGATTTGCCTCCAAAAGATCCAGATGATGTTAACCCACACTTGTTTGATTTCTTTGGTTTTGGTCAACAAGGCCCGGGGCCTCTTGGGCCAGCTCCACCAGTACAAGGCCGGCAGTAGCCAGGTCCAAACCAACAGCAACAATGGGCGTCTTGGCCGGCCCATTGCCACCGGGCCGTGCCGCTGCCCGGCCAGCGTGCGCGTGCCTCACCGAGCCACCGTGCAGCCATGCCATGTCGTGCCTCCCTCCGGCCCAAAACGCGGCCCATGGGCCGTTGGCCTCAGCCCAAGGCACGTGCCCATGTGCTGCTTGCCCGCCTGGGCACGACCATTTTCATCGGGCCGTGCCGGCCCATAGCTCGGCTACAAAAATAACTAAGTCTTTCAGGACTTGATCATTTTCAACATGATTTTACAGCTCGTCGTCCGGGTGCAGCGCCTGGTCCTCGCCGTCGCTGAGGGGATGCTGATCCTCCCCCCGCGTTGCGAGGACGGAACCGCAACCGCCCGCGGACGAGCCGGATAGCCGTCCACGACCTCGACCTCCAGCAGCTCCAGCACCGTCCCTCAACGGGCGCTTTGGCGGCCTGGCCATGTCTACTCCAGAGGAGGAAGACGCGGCATCAGGCACCAACCTGCACGCTAAGAAGAAGAAGAGTGAGAGATGACACTTGAGAGACAGAGATCAGAGAGAGACAGAGCAGAGAAGAGCAAATCTAGGGTTAGGGAAAGTGATGAACCTGCTTTCCCGGAGCCCGGTGCCGGAGATGAAGAAGCCAGCGAGCCAGCCAAAGGATGAGACAGACACCGATTAGAATCGATGGCGAGGTAGGGGAGGAGGGAGTGACATGAACACGAACTCACATGGTTCACCGATTCCGAGCGAGAGCGAGAGGAAACAGGAGAGGAAAAGGTGGGAGGAGACGGGGTTAGCGAACTCAGTGCGAGGTGGAGGAGCGTCGGCGAGGTCACCGGTGCCAGAGAGGACGGACGACGATGGTCGATGGAGAGCGGCGGCGGCGGTGGATCGCGAATGCGAGAGCGAGAGCGAGGCAGCGAGCGAGAGCAGACGGCGCGGCGGGGGTGGAATGGGGATTAGGGACTTAGGGTTAGGGATGCAGAGACTTAGGGTTAGGGATGCAGAGGGAGGCAGCGGGCAGCGGCTTATATATGCGGCGGGGTGGGCTGGCTTCGTGGGCTGCCTCCCTTGCTGGGCCAAATGAAGCCGTTGGGGCACCGGGCCGCCTCTTTGCACCGGGCCGTGCCCGTGCCGTGCCATGGGCCGAGGTGGCGGCCTAGGCACGGCCTGGTGCCTCGGGCCGTGCCGGCCCAGGCCCGCTGGCCACAGGGCTACGGGCCGGGGCGGCGGGCTGCATGGCCAACTTTAGGGCCGACAACTGTAGATCATAACTCTTTATATGAATTTGGAGTACTGTAGATCTTATGACCTACGACTTTATAGCTGTCAACTTTTTTATTTGAGATCTTTTAGAAGCTTGTATATTCATTTTTAGTTATTATATTTTGAAATTGAAAATTTGCACTTAAGGCCTGTTAAATTTGAATTATCAATTACCATCAGCAACTAATTATAAGCATTCCTACAGGCTATAAACCGGGCCATGTATTTCGTTTTTCTTAAAAAAAAATACGCCACTCATGTTGAGACAACTATTCTTAATTGCACTAAGCTGGCAAAAGTACTTATTCGTCATCGTGCTGACTTGCAAGCGGATAGTTACGAGCAAATTAGCCTCCACGTGAAAAATAGATCGAGCAAGCATGTGTGACAGCTACATATTATGGATCAATGTAAGTACTTATTATTGATTGAATCTCTATCAGCAAATCAGTTGGTCAATGATCTATTAATAATTAATATATCATTTCTTAATCATTTTGCCACTAGTTCTGTTTCAATTAGAAAACTAATACTAGTAATTATCTCTACAACACATCTGCATGCTATTGTAGTTAATTAATAGATATATATGGAGCATATCAAGGATATATGCCCAGCCGGCCTTCAATGTCCATGCATGATTCCAAACCAAATCAATGCGCCACTACTAGTAGTGATTTGCACGATTCACAATCAATAATTTTCATGATAACATAATGGAACACCTGAACCAGACACTTACGGCCGCGTGTTTATTTATTAATTTGCCAGAAGATATATATGATTCCTTTCAGAGATTGGCAGATAGATATTCAACTATGGACATATGCCCGGGCTTTATTTTTGAATGATCCCGAAACAAATCAAATGGGGACTATCTTAAGTGGTTTGCGGTTGTTTGCGTTGACAGTCGAATGGGCTCACATTGGGCCGACTCTACCAATCTCTTAATTGTAATTTAGGAATAATCTCGTAGAAGTTTGAGTTGTAAATGATTCCGAACGTGATAAGACCAGTTCATCCAATATAAATATAAAATATCAAAGTTTAATTGAGGGGATCCAATTCGATCAAAATCAATCTATATTTATATTTATACATATCTCTAACTTCGTCCTAACTTTCGAATCCAAATTTTTACTGTTCTACAAACTTCTCGACGGAGATTGTAGGTGCTGTAGGTGGCCTTACTATTCGACACGAGGGTCGGGCCGTCTGCTAGGTCAGACTGGAATTGATCCAAAAGTAACTCTGCTCTGTGTATTTTCACGTGGACTGCCCGAGTGATCAATGCGTATATTTTCAGATTTGATTTGAAGACGGGCTGGCGAACCAGCGTCCCCAAGGAAAAGTAATTAAGCATGCTCTTATACAATTACGTGTATATTTTTCGAGTTGTTTAATTTGAAGACAGTTTCTCACAAGGTTCAACTAACGACGATTATTCAGGCCTTCAGCAAGCTGGCTTAATTAGGCTAGTCAGTTCTATATTCCAGATTTAAAGACTAATGTGTTGGAAACATCATGTACTAGTTTCATCACTACTAAACTCATTTTACTCATGTAAAACTTTGGTCATCTCTCTCTTTATTGATATTATGTAATGTCAATATATTTGCTAAGTTAGTAGCTTATTTAATTCTCATGAAACTTTCACTGAAACTAGATGTCACACATCCAATCCAGAGCCCACGTGTCGGGCTAAATGGGCCAGGAGAGGCCCGTGACCCAACCCTGGCTCCGCCAGGGGGTGGGCCACCACCGCCCCTAGAATCTCCCCGTATCTCGGGAGATCCAGAATAAAAAGGAACAATAGAATAAAAAATAGCAAATAAATAGAGAATTGTCTAGAAGATAGGTGACGAATAGGGATATGTTAAGTCCCTGGGAACCAAGGTGTCGACCGACGGACCCCCCCCCCCCTTCACCGATCTCATAGATCGCTCTTGGGCTCAGGCGCTATATCCATCGGGTACGCTCGCGCGCACCCTCTAGAAGGAGTTAGGAAGAGCCCGATTGAGCACGTCTGAGGCCATTGCTCAGGACTCGGTGGCTCGCCTGAGCCTCGGGCTGCCGAGCGATGGCAGCCTGAGCCTGACTCCAATCGGGCACCGACCCAAGCTAGTGCTCAGACGGCGAACCGACGTCCCGAGCCACGGGCAAACCGCCGGGCATCCAAGGCCTGGCAGGTACGAAGATTCCACAGCGCTTGCTCGTTCAACGAGCGCGAGGCTCCGTCGGCAGGGTCACACAATCGGCGTGAAAACAACATGATAAGCGACATCACCAACTTCAGGGGCAGCAGGCTCCAGGGCCCACTCGTTAGCCCCTCAGCCTAGGAAGCCTCAAGAAGGTTCACCCAAGAGAGACAGCGCCGGAGCAGACGGCCACTGACGGTCAAGCGCCAAGCAATGGAAGCAGTGTCAGGCGGCAGTTACAGCTCCACCGACTCCTCCCTATACGACAAAGACGAGGTCCATCCCATGCCGCGGCAGCACCCTCCACCCCGCGCACGTAGACCATAGACTAAAATCCAAACAGACTTGTACCCGACCCTACCCGCAATATAAGGGAGGGTCGGCTCCCGGAGAGGGGTTCGATTCCAAAACCTCAAACAGAATAGCAGCCAACCGAGAGGAACACTAGCGAGTTCCTCCCCGGCAACCCAGCTATAGAAGGCTGGTTCCTTACTAGGAAGAGCACCATCGCCGATGAGCCGTAGGATAGCACCGAACGATCCCCGCCAAACTCTCAATCTCCTCCTACCGACAGGAAAATTAAAAATAATTACCCTGGCAGTGACATTTTCAAATGTCCCTGTCGCCTCTGTCCCCGGCGGTTATTCTCATGGCCGTCGGTATTTTCTATTTTCCTGTTGGCAGTTGCACCGTCAGGAATTTTCCCTTTTCCAGCAGTGAATACAGCAGCACTGTTCATATGGTGAGTAAATGGCATACGTAGCTTTCACTTTTAAAATAATAGAGAAAGCGGGGAATGCGGATACGGATATGTGTTCTATAAATAGGCACGTCCACCCCTCAGCGGTTCCCAACCCGTCCGTCTAGCACTACACAACAGCGAAGCTGAGCTTAGAGGTGACACTGCATTGCCGCCTCTCTCATCTACCAGTACGTGCTCGATCGATCTGATCCTTCAGTTTTTGGATTCTACTATTGAAGTGGTACGTTCGAGCTAGCTATATCTATATTTGGTCTGATAATCGATCATTAATTCATTATACTTGCCGCTACCTATACATTCTCCAGCTAGCTCGTCGTCGGTCGATTGCCCGGCCAGGCTACGCCTAGGAGCCTACGATCGAGGATGGTGATGATGTCCGGACTAGCTGCTGCCTACAGCGTAACAACGACCGGCACCGCGCCGTTATCAGGCTGGAAGACACGGGCACCACCGCCGCGAGTCGCTTTCCAGCGGCGGCGGCGTACGAGTATGACCACGGCCACGGCCACGTGCATGCCCCGCGAGGCGATGACGGCGCCGGAGAAGGCCGACGTGCTGCGGTCGCTGGGCGGGTGGGCGGAGTCGAACCTGCTGCCGCTGCTGAAGCCGGTGGACCGGTCGTGGCAGCCGCACGACCTGCTGCCGGACTCGGCGTCGCCGGGGTTCCGCGAGGAGGTGGACGAGCTGCGGGCGCGCTCGCGGGAGATCCCCGACGACTACTACGTCTGCCTGGTGGGCAACATGGTGACGGAGGAGGCCCTTCCCACGTACCACGCCGCCCTCAACAGCTTCGTCGGCTACGACAGCCCCTCCAGCGCCGACGCCTGGGCGCGCTGGTCCCGCGGCTGGACCGCCGAGGAGAACCGCCACGGCGACCTCCTGAACCGCTACCTCTACCTGTGCGGCCGCGTCGACATGCGCCGCGTGGAGCAGACCATCCACCACCTCATCAACGCCGGGATGCGCCTCGCCGTCGACAAGTGCCCCTACCGGGGCTTCATCTACACGGCGTTCCAGGAGCGCGCCACCGCCATCTCGCACGGGAACACGGCGGCGCGCGCCAAGGCGCTGGGCGACGCCAGCCTGGCCAGGATCTGCGGCGCCATCGCTGGCGACGAGAAGCGGCACGAGGCGGCCTACACCCGGGTGGTGGACGAGCTGTTCGCGCGGACGCCCGACGCCGCCGTGCGCGCGCTCGAGTACATGATGAGGGAGAGGATCCTGATGCCGGCCTACTACATGTTCGACGGGAAGGACCCGGAGCTGTTCCACCACTACGCCGACGTCGCGCAGAGGCTCGGCGTCTACACCACCGCCGACTACGCCGACCTCGTCGAGTTCTTCGTCGACAGGTGGGGCGTCGCGGAGCTCGGCCCCGGCCTCACCGGCGAGGGGAGGCAGGCGCAGGACTACCTCTGCCGGTTGCCGGAGAGGGTGCGCAAGATGGCCGAGCTGGACGCGCGACGGAGACAGCAGCCCCAGCCTCGTCAGGCCCCCTTCTCCTGGGTGTTCGACAGGCAGGTGGAGCTGCAGGCCTGACCTGAACAATCACCGCTCCCTCTCAGGTCTCGGCAATCCACTGCCACTACAATACAAGCTATTACTCCGCTGCGCCCCCATCCAGCTACTTCGTACTTGTACGGCTGGGGCGACTGCGTATCCGTATTATGAATAATGTATGCCGCACCTGCCGTCCCCCTGTATACCTGTGGCCGTCCATGTACGCTTTATCGTGCGTGTCAGTCGTCATCATTCAATTCATTTGGTGATGCAGCATGTCAGGAAATTTAAAAGCAACCGGCCCAAATGTCAGAAAGTACGTTCCAACGATCCAAACTCCATTTTTTGCGCATCAACATCAGACCGGCGGTAGAAATTGAAAATGTAGCACTGGGTCCGACCACCGGAACTCGAAGTCGAATTTCGATGCCTATATTTTTCTCGATGAAAAACACTCAGTTTCTTTTAGGTTGATCACATTTGAACATTTGTTCTGATGGGCATACCTAGTTGAATTAATCCTAGAATAACTAGCACTCATCAGCAGTTTAATGCTCATTATAGACAGATCAAATATGATATCGATCTAATCTAAATAAGAACAAGAATGATCCAATTCCTTATCATGGTACTTGCGTTGGACCTCATAGTCCCACTATACTCCCTCTGTCCCTAAATAAATCAATTTCTAGAATTCGAGCAAATCAAGCTATCCTAAGTTTGACTAATTTTATAGGAAAGAGTAACAATGTCGCAGAACCGACCAATTTATAAGAGTACAAGTACAATGGCGGCCCGCTAGCGGTCGCACTGTCATACTTGAACCCATATAAACCCGGTAGTCCGTCGAGTACCACGACGGGTCTCGATAAACGATTTACAACAACTAAGATCGTACATAATTGAACATACATACCACATATTATATAAAGTTCACAGATACATTTTCATCATCAGAGTATGAAACCAGTAATTACAAACCGAGTTTGATAGATAAAAACGGAAGCAAATTAAGTTTTAAAGTAAAGTTTCCAACATAGTTTAGTACAGTGCTAAAATACGATCACGGTCCACAAAAGCATGTAGAAGGATTAATAAGAAGCCTGCCCAAGGCTTACTCCTCATCCACAGCGGGATAGAAGCAACTCTTGCAATAACCATGATACACAGTGCCATCTGCAACAATGGGAAATAAAACCCTGAGTATGAGAAGGTACTCAGCTAGACTTATCCATCATAAACCAGAAATAAATTGACTCCAAGGATTATGCAACGATGTATAAGTGGAGATAGCTTGACAACATTTTGCATAAAAACGATTAACTTAGCTATACAATTATGGTTCTAATATTAGGTTAATTATAACTATCCATCTCTAGATTAGCAACTATCCTGTGCCAAACATGTGGTATATCCATTTAAAAGCATACAATAGTACCCATAGCAGGTATTACAATTCCATATTTATCCGAACCATCATGTTCCATAGCACAGTTACTACGATATTGGGACTAGCCAAGTTTCTCAATATCCAGGAGAGACGGCGATTCGAATCGATTTCAACCAGCTGGGAATTTATTCCTAACACAAACCCAGGCATACCGCGCGAAGGCAGCCTTAGGTCACCTTTGGTACAACTCAGTTACACATTTCGCGGGTCCGTACCGCGCCGCACAATCTAGGACACCAGATGCTAGGACGTTCAGGCCTAGCCTGCCCTTAGGCTCAGTCTGATCGCCCCCCGCAAGGAGCGCACAACAGAACGGGTCCCGCCCTGAGTTGAGCTACTCGGCTTCGCGGTCGGAATGAGTTATCCGGGCAACTAAGTGATAGGCATGCGTTCAATCTTGTCAGAAGCACCAACAACGGTACGGTCCTTAATCGGCTCAGACGAAATCACATGAGTCATCCTACGCATAGACTCCGCCCGGCCTCGATTTTCTTTTACCCTAAGGTTCTGTTCCACGATAGCAAATATAGCCAACCGTGCTCCGGTATCCACCTATATCTCGCAGGTGACAGGACATCACCTGACTTCTATCGGTCTAAGCATGGCTAAGCATATGTTCGATCCTAGACCTATACCGGTTAAAGGTGTAATATCTGGACAAGAAATTTATATGCATCAAGTGATTCTATTCAACTCTTATAACCTAATACATCAATCATAAGTACTTAAGTAATCATTTGTAAAATACTGGGAGACTTAGAATGCTCCGGGGCTTGCCTTTCAGAAAAGAAGTAGGGCGGTGATCAGGGCACTCCGAAAGCTCTTAAGGATTCTGCTCCTCGCCTTCGGGAGCTGCGACTTGAGGATTCTCCTGCTGGTTCCCTTCCTCTACTTCGTTGAATTCCAGCAACGTTAGTTCTTCCTCCGATCCTAGATGCATTAATATGGCATAAGATATTGCGAATGCAAATATGTTAACAAGTGTGGTTTGATGATACATGAAGAATGCATTCTGGCAAATATTCTTAATGGCATGTGGTTTAAGTAACAACAAGTGCATCGCGTTTACTGAGTAGGTGCATATCTCTTATTGATTATGCAATCAACTACTTCAACAATTCATCAACTATTTCACAAACAACAGCTACTTGTTGTACTCATAACTGGAGTTCTAATTATCCAAATGCAGTGATCCTAGACTTTCTGGAAAGCTTATAAAATTACCTACAACTCTTATTTAATTCACAAAAGCTAAATCACAACTTATCTTAGCCAAAACAGACAATCATATCAGTGCTGTCCAGAAATTCCAGAGAACAAGCAAATTCAGAAAAGCTAACTTTAAACAGTTGTAACTCCTAAACCGTTTGACCTATGGTCCTGAAATTTTAACACAAAACATATGATGAAGTTATCTACAACTTTGTTATTAACCATTTTTACAGCAACCATCATTTTGACTACGCAACATTCTAAACCACATAATCGGTCCGAAAACTCTTCTCTCCCAAATTATAAAGCAACGATATTTCTATTGCATATAAACATTCCAAATTTGACTTCACCAATCATACCAACAGTACAAGGACATCAAATACACACAAGAAAACATAATGGCCATGCCCAAACTATTTATTTAAATGCCTTTATCAATTTACTAAGATACTTAGGTTAAATAATAAACATATACCAATTGTGCATCATAACTTCTCAGAAAATTACAGTGACTTACTAGTGCTACCAATAGACTACTGTAAAAGTTTCATGCCATTTTACCAAGTAAAACATCCTATACAAAAATGACAAGGCAGCAAGGCTTGAAATAGCATAAATAGAAAACCCTAGTGAAATGTGTCAAGCAACAGATTTTATATTTTTCTTAGCATACATATGGTACTAGGATATCCTCCAACAAATTTCATGAATATTGGATTCATAAATAATTTATAAAAATTCATACAAGGATCTCCTAATTATAAAAGGAAAATCTATAACTACAAATCTATACATGCACTGATCCTCAAATTTTTACCAGAGCTCATACATGTCAATAATAGCTTGCTACCAAAATTTCATACTTTTTGGAGCACAAGAACTCTAGATATAAAATAAACAAGTTTGAATGCATTTAAAAACACATTTCAAATTTCCATTTAAATCTTCCAAAATTTCTATTGTAAGTATCAAGACTATATTTTTCCTAAATACTACACTTCCTAAGTAACACTACCAAATTTATTTCATAATTTTTGAAGCTACAAAGCTGGAGATACAAATATTACAAAATAGCACAAAATCTGGAATTAATGAACTATCCTATACTCTCACTGCCGCTGACCGGTGGGACCCACAAGTCAGATGACCCCACACGTCAGTGACCCAAAACAGGGCAGCGGCGCTGCGCGGTGCTGGCACGGCCAGAGCTCGTCACCGGTGAGCTTTCCGGTGAAGCCAAGGGAACCAACACGATCTACTAAGCAAACCGCGTCGGATGGTCTAGGTGGTGGCCGTGCAGGTGCGGCGGAGCAAGCTCGTCGCCAGCCATGGTGGCACGGCTGCGCTGCTCTGCGGTGTGCCGGCCGTCTCCAGCCACGGTGAAGCTCGGCGAAGGGCACGATAGTACCACGACATCGATGTGACTATGACTAAGCAACCTAGGCGGCAGGAGGTACTCCGACGAGGTACGGCCACGACAGCGACCATGGCGGCACTCCGACGAGAGCATTCCGGCGAAGGCACAAAGCGAGCAGCGGCTCACCTAGGGCACAAATGAGGGCGCTGCAAGGTGGAGACGGTGGAGAAGGTTGAGGCGGAGTTGCTAGCTCGACTGATTGGCCACTAGAGCGGAGGCGAGCGCTGCAGATGGCGACGACGGAGGTAGGAAGAACTCGGCTTCGCTGTGGGCGAGGGAGGAGGCCGAGGCAAGGTGAATGGCGTGCTCTGGGCAGTGCGGGTGAGTGCTGGCAGGGTTAAGGCGCTCTCTAGCCCGCCTTGGCCACACACGACGAGGCATCGGCGACGCGCGGCGTCCGCTGGCCACTAAAACCAGCGATTCAGTTTGCTCAGTCGCGCGACACTAGGCCTGACAGCGTACTTTCGTGGAGCTTGATCTTCTAATCTGTGAAGTAATAGTGCACACAATCTACACAAAAGTTGTAGCTCCAAGTACCATCTGTAATTCGTCTTAAACGATCAAGACCTAATTCGCAACGGTTAAGGAGTAATGTCATCCCAAAGTTGGGGTGTCAGTGCTGTCAGTGGAGGAAGACTTTGCGAAAATTGCTAAGTGTTGAATCCAGTGATTTATCCATTTTTGTGAGCTCAAAAATACCAAGCTATGCACATAATTAGCTCAAGACCCGAACATAAACGTTGTTCCTTATATCAAATACTACAACTTTGCTTTAGTGACCACCTCCATGCAAGGTCTCTAACACATAGTTCAAACTTGGTCAAACAGGCTACATTCAAATGATGACTTGAACAAGAACTATGACTTAGTGATCTATTTAGCCCTAGCCATGAATACCAAAGTTGTTCATAATGATACTCTAAACATGTTTAAGCAAATGGCAAGGTCATACAATCT